ATAGAAACAGTTAAATGAAAAAACAACAAAATCACTTTAAAAAAGTTAAAATAAGTTAGACAATATTTATTTTATAGTCGTACCTAGTTTCTACCTAAATTAAATTCAGATTTTGGTTTCTTATAGTTAGCCCATAGAGTAAGAGTTAGCCATACTGATTTAGTCAATTCTTATTGGTTGTAGGAGAACTGATATCATCCCGGGTAGCTACTAGCTATTAAAGGATCAAGGAATACGCGAAACCAATAAAAAAATGTAAAGTGTACGGGACTATAATATAGTAGTAGTGGTAAATTACGGTCCCGGGAGTACGGTAATTATTGTACACTTTTTTTGTGAATTGTTTAAGTCCCGCGCATGCGCAATATGATAAATAATTGTCTGGGACTGATAAGATTGTTATCAACAATCCCGATCTTTAATCGTGGTACACATGTGTTGCTCATTCGTAATAACTACGAAGTCAACGAATTAAAATATACTAGATTTAATTCGTGATTAAAGCTCTACATTATTATAATTATACATTGATCTCTTATTCGTACATCACATAATGTAAGAAATAATTAACATTATTCCTTATACTGTGGTACTGCCTATTCGGCGCGTGTAATTGTGTACCCACGGCCGCACATCGGTGTCAGTCGTCAAAGTACTTCACTGGCTCCARACTGTACTCTGTAGTGGCCAGAACCCGCCAAAGAACAGTGAGCCTCGCGTTCAGCGACTTTCCAGGGCAGACCAGGTTAAGACTGTCTTGTCCGTCGGATTTTACGACAATGGATGTGTTGGAGCACGACAGCGACTCTGAACCTAGCGAAATAATGGAGCACAAGGGATACACGTACGAGAAAARGCGGACGGCTAACACCAGTGCCATGGCCACCTGTGACTGGGTGCTGTGGAAGTGCATGAAACGCAGTTGCGCTGGACGGATYGCCACGACCGCCGTCCGGACCAAACGATGGCGGCGGAAACGATTCGCCGTTCACCGGGACGTCGCTAGTAATCGACTGATGGCGTTCATACCGCAAAAGCCACACAATCACCCACCCATGACGTCCACCGGAAACGAGACGTCTAAACAAACTGGGACGGCGACTGACATAGCCAAACAGATGCCGGATCCATTACCCTCTACAAGTTCCTCTAACGCGTTAATTGCCCCAAGTGAGTTTTTTTTATTTGTGAAGAATCTTTATTAGTTTTGCATTAACTTGTAGATTTCATCTGAAGCAATCGGTCCTTCATTTTCTCCTTGCGAATCTGAAATTATTGTATCCATTTGTAATAAATTTTAGAAACATCCATGAGGTGATATTGCCTAACCCTTGTTRCSTGTGTTTGATAATTTTATTAGATTGTGTAATCGACTGTCAATAGATCTTAACTTTTGAATCTGAGAGGTTTTCGATTGCCTTGATAGTATTATGGTGGTATACTATGATAGCCGGTATTGATGTTCTAGCTTATTATTTAAAGTATCTACTAGTTAACAAACCTTAATGTCTTAAATAGCCTGAAATAAAATTGTTGTTTAATAAAAGACAAATCATAATTATTGTCTATCTAGAATATCAAAAACTAATTTTGTTAGGTCGGTTGTGAGTACCTTACCTAGTATGTCTACTCAATTCCAAATAAGTTTTTTTTTTTTAAATCACGACAAAAACATTGTCAGATGAATAATATTGATTCTTATTATCAGTAATAATAAGTGTATTTAATTATATTCATTGTGAGTTGTGGATCATGGCACCAATTAATATATTTTAAAGGCCAAATGAGGAATCTTAAATTTTTCATGGACCATCAAATTACAGACATTGGTTAAAATGGGGAGTAATAATAATTGTGTTATTATAGGTATAGCCAATGTTTTGCACAGTATTTAATCATTATAAATATAATTTATGGTTATCAAATATTAAACATTGAAAAAAAAGTCAAGGGGGATCTATCACCATTTGTTGCTTACCATTACTTACACTGGGACTTTTGTGATATTTAATTCCTATTTCTTGACTATTTCTGTATTTAATGTTCATATATTGATTACTTTTG